ATCAACTCACCGGTTAACGACACTATATCAGTGACAAAGCTCAGAGAGAGAACATGAAGATCCAAAGGGAAACAAGTTTGATTGTTATCGTGTTAATTTTGGGCTGGTATTTTGCTTTCTGTAGAGCGGGGAAGGGGGAGGGTGAGGGGGAGGAAGAGACCGAGGGTGCAATCAAGAAATGAAGGAAGGAGACAGAATCCACGGATCTGAAATGACTCTCAAGTCTTTTACACACCTGCTTACTTTCTTCCTCTGTGAGACAGGGAGTAGGCTGACACTGTAAGGTTTAGTAAGTAGGCATGGTTTCCAACTGATTTACGAGAATGACATTACGGATTCTTTTAGTCTTTAATTGGATGATTATTTCTCGCTTGATGACTATCTTGCCCTCTCGACTCTTGGATTTCTGTACCCTTTCTTTTGGGTTCTTTTCTTGGTGCTGGGAAATTCGACCTTCTCTTGCAAGGTGTTTTAATTTAGTTGCGTGAATAAATAATAAGAGACGGTCGTGATAAAAATAATAATAATATTCTTTCATGTATTTTTTAAAATTTAAAAAATTATTTTATATCTATTTTTGTTTTTTTAATGTTTATTTATCATGAGACATTAACCAAATTAAATACAATCTTTCAATTATTTTTACTTTTAATTTCAGTTTTGGAATCAAACATGAGAGTTGTTTAATCCATATAAAAATATGATGTTGAAGGGAAGATATTAGATTTGACTTATAATATGTTATTTAAAATGTAGAAAACAATCTTATTGGTATTTGAGATTTATTAGTTAATTATTTTAGTGATATGATTCTTATTCCAGTGTTAATTTTGTTTCAGGTCACAATAATATATCTATCACGTTAATACTATTTTAACAATTTCAAAATAATTTGTGTTATTTTATAAGATAAAAAAAATAAAAATAACTTGTTGATTTCTTATATTTGCTTTGTTTTTGTTTTTTAACAATTAGCTCTCATATTTATCTTCTTTGAGCTAATGAATCCCTCATTGCTCTTTTATAATTCGTCAATTTGTTTAAAGATTGAAGTGTGAAATGACTCAACAAATACAAAATAATAATAAATATATAGCTTCGTATATATGCCAAGAATTTGCTCCTCACTTCCATGCAAAAATTCAAATGAAAGTTAATAGATTTTAAATTTATTAAATATTTATATAATTATTAATTTTAAAATTTGTAGAATTAATTAAGATATATATAAGTTAATTTAAACACTTGTATCAAAAAAATTGAATAAAAAATAATAATAAGAAGTAACTTAACTAATTAAATTTTAAATTTATTTTTTAATTATTATAAATTTATTTTTATTTATTTTTACAAAATACTTATATAATTATTAATTTTAAAATTTATAAAATTAATTAAACTAAACCAAATATATATTGGAATAAAAAAAATTCTAATTGTAGAGAACAAAAACTTTTTGACCGAAGACGAGGAAAGTAAAGCATATCGACTCCCTTTCGGCGTCCCCTGCAAGAAGGATATTTCAGCCATTTTATCCTCCCAATATTAAATTATCCCAAAAAAATCGCTCGGGCATGTTTGTAAAGGAAAAGAGCGCAGGTGTTGGGACCCACAAAAGCCATGCCCGAGAGCTGGTCCCCGAGCAACAGGACAAGAGGGTAGAGATAAAAAGGTTAGTGGGTGCATAGTGGCAATAGCCATGGGCTTGGACGACTCCGATCGCAATCCATGTCCCCACTTCCAGGTGTCTGTTTCCGGGGACTAGACCTGGTTCCTTTCGTTGCAGGCAGCCGGTTGATAAAAAGTTGGTAAAGACTAAAAGAGAGGCCAGTGAGGAGGTTCTTTGCTTGGTGGCCTTGGAAAGCAAGGAAAGCAAGTCCAAGAAGATCGTATTGATTCATCTTCAAGATTGCAAGCCGAAAGGGATGCAGAACACACCCTTGCTTTAAGATGCCAGATTCCGGCTCCCCAGAAAACCATCATCAAATTGCCTTCAATGAGAAATTTCATCTGTCCAGCGTGCTCCAGACGTGATGAATTTCCAACAAATATAAAGAATATATCTTGATTATTTATCTGAAAGGAACTAGTTGAGCCACTTTCTTGATTCCCAAATCGAATTTTATCCACTCGTGCATCATAGCATGGGAGGCAGGAGGCCTGGAACCTTGTGTATATATCAGCTACTTTCACTCCTTTATTTTAGTTGAGAGTTGAAACGAGGAGAGTGGAAAATGCACGAGAATATAAATAAATTAGTAGGATGCCCAGTTGGGTAGATTTTGATTTATCGCTTATTTATAAATAAGTATTATTTATTTATTTTTGACCGTATTAATAATTGGATGATTGTATTAATTCTTGCTGTTCTTATACTATCCATAATGCCATATCCAATCATACCTGTTAAAAATGTCGAGCTTAAATTTTATCCCACCGGTCATTGGAGTTCCAAAAACAAGATTTTTTATGCAAACCCATAATTATCATTTAAATTTATTTTATATTAAATTCAATTTTAATGATCAACTCTTATTTATTTTTTAAATCAATATTACATTATTTCAGAGTTTTATTAGTGAGAATTGAATCGAAAGATAATAAGATTTAACGATTTATAATTTAGCCCTTGTATTATCATTAATTTTTAAATAATTTAAGGGATCCATGATAGTTGATCTATCATTTATATATAAAAAAAAAAACTTCTTTATTTCTAATGATATTAGCATTCTATTAGTTTGAGTTAAAAAAAAAGGAAAAAAAAAGGAAGAGAAATGGGTCGGCTAGATAAAAAAAACTCCATACCGAGCTATGGGTGCAGTCACCAGAACGGAACAAGGCTTGTCCTTCTCCTTGTCCAACGACAGAGATTGACAAATGCCTTCCAGTTGGGCTTGAAACTTGGGCTTCAAAGCATGACGTTCCCACACACACGGATCCAACTTTTGAGCATGGGTTTACAAGCCCGAACATACATGCGCGCACATACTTTTTTCATAGGTTTTTTTTTCTAAAAAAAAAAATTCCTAATGATCAACAGTGATTTTACATGTATTTTGTTTTTTTATATACATTTAGAACATAAAATAGTCTATATAACTATTGATAATATTTTTCTCATCTTATAAAATTCTATACAATTACATATTGAGGTGTTTGCTTAAAAAACATCACGAGAACCAACTTTTATACACGAAGACTATTTTTTTTTCTTTAATAATGTCTCATACAAATAGTCTATGTTTAAAGTTATCCATCTATGATTGTTTTTTTTTTTTGTGATTTAGTGTTTGTTTGACACTATATTTTAAAAGTATTTGAAAAATATTTGAATTTTTTTTTAAATTAATATATTTTTTATGTTTTTAAATTATTTTGATGTACTATTTTAAAAATATTTTTTAAAAAATAAAAAAATATTATTAACATATTTTTTAAGTAAAAACACTTTTAAAAAAAAACCAAAACACAATTTCAAACAAACTCAAGCTAGATTTGAAACCCAAAATAGTAATTCAATAAACAAATCCACTCACGTAGTACGTACCATCAAGACTAACAATTTCTATTTTAAATTATTTTAAATCATGTGATAAAAGCTACACATGACCATTGATTAAATGAAAATATTTAATAACCTGAACGGTTCTGTAGAATCAACAAATCCCACAAACTATATATCGTCGTACGAAAAATCAAATAAAAATCCCAGTGTGGGTGGATATATTAATTAGTAATTGCTAGACATGGGCAATTTTGTTTCGTTAAATTACACTCAGTATTATAATATTAACCACGTAGTCACAAAATACGAAATAGATATTTAATCAAATATATAAAAAGTAATGAATAAGGACGAGTTTCACTCAGCCAACAGAAATTTCGATGTTCCTGGCTTCATCAGGCGCGGCAGGAAGCTTCCTTCGCTGTCCCGAGCAGCGTCACAGATCACAATCCATTCGAAAATTGCAATTTGTATATACATGGATGGAGATGGAAAGGTGAATTGAAGAAAACTTTTGCAAACGTTTAGTTAAACCGCAAACCTACAACGCACCTACCTTTTTTTTCAAACCGTCCTGGCTCTATCTCCACGGGAGCCGGTGGTGACAATATTTCATTAATTTATTTGGCTAAGTTTATCTTTGTATCGTAATCACAAACTTTAAAATATTTAATCAGTTAATATACAACTGATCCCATTAAAAATTATATATTTAAATTACCTAGATATCAAACATATATTTAAAGAGTGTACAGATTATGGTACAATATGATTATTAAAATAATTTATTATTTAAAAATATATCAAAATAAATATATATCAAAGTAAATATTTTTAAATTTTTATTTTTATTTTTATTTTTATTTTTTAACATCACCATCTCAAAATCATAAAAAAAATATTTATTTTATTTTATTTTTAAAAAAAAAACATAAGGCTTGCACTAGCATGTCGAAGATTGGTTCCTCCGTCCAATGTTAGTATAGTCTAACACTGCACTATTCTGTGCTACAGTAGGAAATCTGAACCACAGAATTACATCGACTCTCATCGCTGATTCTGGAGTTTTATGTAATAGATAGCTACGTGGTCTATATCAAAATCATAAAAAAAATATTAATTTATTTAAAAAAAAAAAAAAAACATAAAGCTTGCACTAGCACGTCGAAGATTGGTTCCTCCGTCCAATACTAGTGTAGTCTAACACTGCACTATTCTGTGCCACAGTAGGAAATCTGAACCACAGAATTGCATCGACTCTCGGAGTTTTATGTAATAGATAGCTACGTGGTAAACTTTCACTGGTCCTCAATCTTTGTCTGCAACCAAAGGGTCCCACACCGCAAGCGCCTTCAAAAAGACCTTCTCTGCTCTTCCATCTCTGCCAAAGATCCCTTCTTGTTTTCCAGTTCTTGATTTTCTCACCATTAAGACTTTCTCAGAGCAAGAAACCCTGAATTAATTTCTTCTTGTTATCAAAACTTCTCAACAAATGAAGGTCCACCCAACTCCAAAGAAGCGAAGCATTTTCACCACCCAATACAATGATGCTTCTCTCACCCACACCCCAAGCGCAAAGAAGCTAAAAAGACTCCCTCACGTGTTTGCTAGAGTACTGGAACTTCCGTTCCACTCAGACACTGACGTTTTGGTCCAAGAAACTCCAGATTCTTTCTGTTTCGTGGCAAACATTGAGAACATAACCATTCCCGATGATTATCAAGCCCACGTAGTTGAGATATTTCCAGGGCTGACAAAGATCGTGGTAATTAAAGAAACAGACAGCGGTGATCATTATCCTTCCATGGATGAACTTGAAATCGACACGTGGACCTGTCGGCTCCCGGCCACAGTGCTCCCGGAGATGACGAGTGCGAGGTGTATTGAAGGACAGTTGGTTGTTACTGTTCCAAAGACCCTGAATTTGGAGAATTTTGCTGGTGGGCAAAATGTTGACGACGAAGCAAATATAAGTTGGCTTGATGGATTGCTTTGACTTCTGTTCTATGTTAGGATTGCCGGAGATCACTTAATGTCATCATGAACTGTAATAAATGTAGAGTTCACCGTGTAGAATAAAGGTTCTGTTGATCAGGGTTGAACTTTTTGTTAAGATCTTGAATAAAAGCATGTTCTGCGTTGGTTAATTGCGCAAGTCTCTCAAACAGTCATGACTCCGCATCGTCACGGTTTCTTCAATCCTCGGAGATCCCGGTCTTTGCTTCTTTTTTTTTCTTTTTCACTCGGAGTAAAGTTATTTTATCAGGAGTCAGAATATTTTCTTATGATATTTTTTTAAAAAAATATTAATAAATAAAATGGATTTCACAAACAACATACTTAAAGTAATCAATCAAATTAAATTTAATATATCTTGAGTTTAGCGGATCTAAAAAACTTAAGTTTGATATTCAGTCAAGTTTTCCTAAACTCCATAGGCTTAGAAGTGACAAATAACTAAAAAAAGGAATCATTTAAAAGAATATCTTTATTTTTTATTAGATTAAAGATTTTTCTCTATTCATGAAAATGACAATAAATCACCACAATGAGCTGATAAATCCTAAAAAAACATATAAAAAATACATACAACAATCTAGACCTTATCATTTAGAATAACTATGTTATATGCAAGATTTTTCATATAACCTTCAAAGGTTCAGTAGCATGATATAATAATCTAGAACCATGTTCAGTTGCCAGTTTCAATGACCTCTATGCCAAGTTGACGACACATTTTAGTACAAGTATTCCAATTAAAAAGAGTTTCATTAAACTTTTTGAATTCACCTAAGCAGAGGATGAGTCTACAAAGACATATGTTAATAGATTTAATGAGAAAATGCTTAAAGTTAAAGAGGCATATGTCAAGAGATTCAATGAGAAAATGCTTAAAGTTAAAGACTTAGTTTCAGAAGCCTTTATGAATGGGGTGAGGGAAAAAAAACCTTGTGCATGGAGTTATACACCCTACTGGATAGAAGGTTACTAAAGGTAAAACAATTTATGAAGAGTCATATTTGGGTAATGAAGACAAGCACGTTGAGCCATAATCCTCCTTATTTTAACATAGATAAACAATCATAAATGCCTCCTTAACGAGGTCACTCGCCCAAACGAGACTGCTATCACAAAAAAGACAACAATCTCAAAAAGAGTTAGTATTAACTGTTTAAGGAATGTCTGGGTTATCCTGAAGCACATATTTCCCCATCAAACACCTCTCTCGTTTAAGTCCTTGCAGCTATCTAAAGTAAAGAGTTTGTTTAATGTCATTTGCCAATGAAGTCTCCTTCCAGCACACACACATATAAAAAATATTGTCTTTTTCACTGAGATAAAAGACATGATACTAAACATTAAGGGCTACCTTCGTTAATTTCTAAATAAGAATTTTTTTCATAAGCAGAATAGAGAAAAACATCGTCAATCTCTTACAACTTTACTTGAGATCAATGTAATTTTACAGGGAACCTCTGCATCGAGGATTCTAACAATGAAAAGAGAAAATATGAGAAACAAGTCCTTACCACCATTATATTGCTGGTTCAATGGCACAAGTCAATAACTTTTACCCATAAAGATGAAGAATGAGTGGCTTTTCCAAATATGGACGCTCTAGTCATTTCCATTATTATCTCAAACCGTATAGTACATTGGGTATTAGCAAACAATGATAGTGAAATTAACATCTTCTTCACAGTAGTTATGGTTCAAATAGAAACGATGATAATGAAATTAACATCTTTTTCGCAGTAGTTATCGTTCAAATAGGAATCCCCTCTTCAAAATTGACTACAGTAAAAACTCCTTCCATTACATGTTGCATTGGGCATCCCTTTGAAATGTTTCTCCCTCCAGCAAAGTTTCATGGTGATTGATATGTCATTGACTTATAATGTCATTCTAGAAAGATCCTTTCTACATTAAATAAATATTATTATCAGTATTTGATAGCACATTTAATCTTTTGTTAGTTTTCAGGAAAAAAACTTGACTCAACTGGGTTAACACGCCAAACTCATGATCCATGTCACGAGAGTGAAATAACATGATAAAAAATAAATCTAATATTAAAGGGTTTTTTTTTGAAAAAAAAAGAAAAAGCATTGGCTAAAAAAATAAAAAATAAATGATTACAATGAATATTACTTTAGAAGGAGGGGTGTAGTAAAACCATGCATCTTTTAAGTTTTTTTTTAATTAATTGGATTGGTTTAGGAGATGTTTGGATTGTAGTGCATAATGCTTTTTAAAATAGTTTTTTGTTTGAAAATGTATTAAAATGAATTTGTTTTTAGATTTTTTTTATATCGGCACATCAAAATCATTAAAAGAAATCAATTTAATATTTGTAAAATCAAAATTATTTAAAAAAAAAATACTTAAAAGCAGAAGCAGAAACTATGATAAAACACCCTGTAAAAAAAATAACTAAAAAGAAAAAATAAGAGAAAATAAGAGAGGTTAGAAAAACTCTAATAGTACCATTTATTTTTCTTACACTTATATATTAGCATGTGAAAAATATTTTTAAAATAATATTTAAATAACGTAATTTGATAAGGAAATAAAATCTTAAAATAGCTGGAAAATAAAGAAAAAAATAAAAAATATCACGCAAAATACTAAAAAATAAAAAATAACACCTTCTAAGCTTAATTTGATATACTTCCCAACTACATATGGCCACTATAATATTTTAATAAAAATTGAATTTGAGCATTATTTAACAATTATATAAAAATTGTACTTGTTTTTCTCAAAAAAAAAAAAAAAACTTGCTTTATCCGTCCGGGTTTTTCTCTTGTCTATCATGATGAACCCATCAACGTAGTCAGAAACCAAGGTGAGATTGCTTATGTAAATCGATTGAACACTAATTTTTATTTTTTTAAGAACTGAGCACCTAATTAATCAGCGTGTTTTTCTGATCCACTTGTTCATAATTATAAGCAGAAATATAACAGTGTCCATTAAAAATGAAAATAAATAAAAATATGCAGATAGTAATATAAAAATTCATCATAAATGTTTTGTTCATATAATGATTCTGGTAAATCTTCTCTCACATAAGTCCGAACAAAGATCCAATCAATCTAATTAATTTGATTTAAACTCAGTTAGATTAAAACATTGAATTCAAAAAAAAATTATTTTTTTATAATACTATTACATATCAAAAAAATAATTTATTTTTTAAAAATTTATATTAAATAAAAATTATTTGTCAACAATTAAATGAGCGGCCTCGGTAAAAAGAAGATAGGTTCTTGTAGAGTTTCATGCCCTTCCTTAAGAAGGCCTGGGCCTATGATAAAACCCCCTCCCGGGCTTGTTTATTTCTTGAGACAGGCCCGCCAATGTAAGGTCTGGGGTTTCTGACGTGGATTTTTTAGCCCCTGGTCCGATATATACATGAATGATGACTTGGGTTCAGACCGGGATTCTAGTAACCAAATCTGATGGTGATCTACGGAGATTTAAAAAATAAGTCAAATATTTCATGGATATGTTTTATATTATTTTATAATATATTTAATTTTAAAATTTAATTTATATTCTTTTTTAATAAAAATATTTGACTTATTTTTTCTCTCTCTCTCATATCTAGAAACCCCGGATACCAAAAGGTAAGCATTGTATAAAAGATTCAAGAGTTATTGAAAAATGGATTAAAAGCAAAACTTATGATCTCTTCTCAAACACATGAACCACCCTGATGGGGTTTTGTAAGAGTTCTTACACAGCGTGTCTTTCCTTTTGTTTTTTTGAAAAAGCATCCCCATCATCATTTTTTAAACGAAAACATCTTGCAAAAGCACTTACAAACACATTATCAGAAAAGGCACCCATAACAATCTGTTTCTTACCGTGTATTGATTATCATCGTACGAGTATATAAATTAAAATCAAATATTTTTTTTTTATAGATGAATGAATAAAAACGATTTTGATGTAAAATGGTCTTGCAAAACCTTGAACGAGCTTAATATTGACTGTGGTAAAGACGAAAGGAAGCCCGGTGTCTCTCGAATTTGCTAGTGAGACGCTACACGGAAATGTTCTTTGTCCGTTTTATGGGATTTTAAAAATATTTGACTTATGTTTTTCTCTCTCTCTCATATCTAGAAACCCCGGATACCAAAAGGTAAGCATTGTATAAAAGATTCAAGAGTTATTGAAAAATGGATTAAAAGCAAAACTTATGATCTCTTCTCAAACACATGAACCACCCTGATGGGGTTTTGTAAGAGTTCTTACACAGCGTGTCTTTCCTTTTGTTTTTTTGAAAAAGCATCCCCATCATCATTTTTTAAACGAAAACATCTTGCAAAAGCACTTACAAACACATTATCAGAAAAGGCACCCATAACAATCTGTTTCTTACCGTGTATTGATTATCATCGTACGAGTATATAAATTAAAATCAAATATTATTTTTTTATAGATGAAGGAATAAAAACGATTTTGATGTAAAAGGGTCTCGCAGAACCTTGAACGAGCTCAGTATTGACTGTTGTAAAGACGAAAGGAAGCCCGATGTCTCTCGAATTTGCTAGTGGGACGCTACACGAAAATGTTCTTTGTCCGTTTTATGGGATTTTGCTATTGGAAGTATCTTTAATTTGTCCAGAGCATAAAAACAAACGATTAATAAACCATCCAGCATTGCTTGATTGGCTGTGCAAAAGAAGTCTGAGGAAGTGTCAGTAACTACAGTACGTAGAGCTCTGGCTGGCTTATATTGGCGCAGAATCCATCAAAAGATACAATTCCTCATACATACAGCTCACTTCTAAGATCTGTTGCTCAAGATGCTCTGAATTGGCAGCGTGTTCTTCTTGCGTTTCCTTCTTGTTTTTTCTTCTATATCACAGACAAGCATGGGGACTGTGATCGTGCAAACTCCCCTTGTAATTAAACAAGAGGTCAATATCGGTGTCCTGTCTACTGTGCATTGGTCCTTGCAACAGTATTAAGAGATAAGATCAC